TAATTTCCTTTTAGGAAACCCCTGAAAATAGTATTTGAAAAGAGCCTATCGTTGTAATTTACTATGTAAAATAAGCTAATCATATGAATATTGATCACTCAAATTACATAGTAAAAAATTTACCCTCCTGATCTGCATCACAAATCGTGTGACTGCTATATATGGTCTAGTATTTGACTACTTACGTATTATATATTTACGTAAATTATAGATGACCCCTTAACATCAAAAAAAAAAATAAAATAAAATTTTAAAATTGGCCAAATTTCAAATTAAATATTTTTATTAATTTTAAAATTAAACTAAAAATTTTACAGATAATTAATTAAAAATATCGCAAAATTTTATTTTAGCTTAAAAATAGGAGTACTTATTCTTAATAAAATTTTAAGCAATTATAAAAAACATAAAAAAATATATTCTAGCAAGTATATTTGGCCACTGAACAGTTTAAGAGATATGCTATATCTGTAACTCAACTAGGTGATTACCTATTTAAACTCTTTGATATCCTCTGTCCTGTACTATCTACCACAATCATACTAGCACATAATCTCATACTGCTTTTTATTGAAGACCATCTAGATTAACATCTGCTATATTACTTGTGTCTTAATTCTATAGATAATTTAGTAGAGTTCTTATACTACCAGGTTGCTTTAAAAAAGGTGTAGTATATATCTCCTAATCATTCTATATCTCACACATTTCCAGATTAGACTATGAATACCTTTTACAGCAGTTAAAATCACTACTAGTAGTCAGTGATAACCATTAAACTACACAATTTCAGTATTTGGTGCCCTTACAAGGTTCATTCTAATTCTGATACCCACATCAAACCAGTTCTTATATCAAACTCTTCTAAACTACCAAACCAGTTAGCCTGGATAGATTGTTGTATCTAGGCTTTAAGTGCCTTCTGGTTTTACTTCTCTTGGTTTCTAATTTCATAACATAGGACCTTTTTCTCTGATGTGACTCCAGCAGCCAGGTTGGTGGACTCTTCTTGTTTCAGAGTTTTTGTCTAGTTCTTTAATCACCAGTTTCTAGCTTTTCTGCAATATCATTAAAGATTTTTACTATCTCCTTACTTGGATTTTGCTAAATGGATTTCAATTATTCTGGTTCCTTAGATTTAAATTACCCAAAAGCTTTCATTTCAAGATGGTAGTACCAAAATTACAGGTGATATATCCAACTGATCGTTAAATAATTGTTACTGGTATACAGGTTTATTTTTTTTAAAATGTTTCCAGTAGGAATTAAACTCTAGACCTGCTGCTTGGAGGTGACAACTTAACTACTACTCTAAGCTGCCATACTCTTAATATAATAATTACTAAAAATAGCTAGTTGAAAACAAAATTTAGGTTAATTATATGCAGGATATAGAAAACACTAGTAGATATAGGTTATAGATAATTGTCTAAGCTTCTGTAGTTCATTTTATATCACATTAATTAATATATAATACTAGCAATATGGTTGTGATAAATAAGTGTTAATAATAAAAACCAGAGGCATAACCTCATCTTTAACAAAAAAAATTAAATCATGTAATTAGTTAGTACTTATAGATATATAGTATATAAAATATTAGTATACATTTTTATAATCAAAATATAAACCAATTTGTCTATATTAGTTTATAAAAAATAAATCTAATATTATATAGATTTAAAGTAGCCAAATTGTTTATTTAATTATAAAATTGCTTTAATTGTTTATTTGTTTAAAAGCTTTTTTTAAAAAATTAAAATACTACAGTATATAAAAAAATCAACAATTTGAATTTTATTAATTTATTGATTAAAGCTAGATTATTTTAATAAATAATTTCTTTAGTTTAAGTTACTACAAAATCTTTTTGTATAGCTTAAAATTATTATTTTTTGATTAAGAAACACAGTTGCTACGTACCAATAAAATCAATATCGCGTTGCTATATATAGAATAGTCTAATCTAAATCGCATATGTATGCTTATATACATTTTAAACTACACCGCTTAATTAAATCAATCATTTAATTGGACTTTTGTCATTGGAAATATTTTACCGAAGAACGGAATGACAACATTACAATTTCTTGTTTTACTTTTTTCAAAAATTTATAATATATTGGAAGGCCAATTAATCTAAAATAGTTAAATTTAATGCTTTGAAGGACTACAAAGTCATTGAAAAAATTCATGGTTTCTATGTTAGATAAAATATTATACATATGCAAAGGCCAGTAAAAATTGGGAAATTTTTATAACGATAGGAACCAGAGCCCTTACACAAATTTACTATTCAAAATTTTCATCTTGCATGACACTTGTTTTCTTTATCTTGTGTTAGTATTTGTTCTCTTTATCTTGTGTTAGTAATGGAATATCTTATCTTATCTTGTGTTAGTATTTGTTCTCTTTATCTTGTGTTAGTAATGGAATGCATCTTATCATGTATCTCTTTATAAGATGCCCCATCAACATTTATGATAATTTTATTTTATCGTAAAGTAATTTTATGAATCTTGCTTGTCATATATATTTAGTTTGCATTCGCATTCTCATTTCCGGAAGCAACACTTGTCATATAAAAATGTAAATAATTAATTAGTAGTCGAACAGATACAGTATAAGATACAGTAGGAAGATTAATTACTTTGATAGCTTATTGACAAAATTTTCACACGTACAGTTTCAATTACAAATCTTGTATCCGAATTTCCAATATGGCATCAACGTAGTGCATAGTACGAACGCTCTTTAATTTATTTGGCGTCCTATTCCGGCCAAGAAAGTTCCGCGTAAGTATGTAATACCATACTTATGTATAGTATTGTGTTCAAAAGTAGAATAAAAAATCAAGCATATGGAATTATAAGTAAGTTCATGATTCGGAGAACTGTTAACTGCTTCCGTAATTCTGATTAAATAATTTGCTTTATTGTGGCCGTTTCAAAAAAGCCGAAGGATTCCTACGTACGTAATAACTGAAATAATAAGTGATAAAATTGAGATAAATATCAATTGCCTCATCCTAAAAGGGAAAAAATTGACAATATATGCTATTAATAAAACAAATGTCCGAGTTCAAAGTTAGCGGTAAAATACATGGTTGGTGTACTAAATTAATGTTTAAAGTTATTCACGTAGTGTAAATCCAGTATATATATATACAAATTAAGTGTTTATAGCATGTGAGTTGTATTGAATTCTTTGCTACAAAGTTATTTTTTTTAGATCGGTAAGTGTTTTCTATTCGGATGTTCTGATGTATGACAACTGATCTGTTTTACATTTGACAATCTGTGATGCAACTCTTTATTTTATGAAACAGTTGATCAAAATTATTCCATAATTCGATTTTATGCATGTACATATACATAAAGTATTGGATTTTGGAAAAACACGTAAAAGTCAAACGACCACGGCCGATGATATTCTAGTGCTCAGAATTGAATGGATGTTTCAAATTTATTCTGTTTTAAGTAGCGACAAGTGTATTTCTTTATTAGTAATAGTAAACATCAAATGTTAATACCATTTTTATTTCTGCAATTCATAATATGTACTATCAAGAATTTAAGAATATTAGCAATATTATATGATATTCATAAACGTTCAGGATTATGCAAAAGTGATAGCGGAATTTTATTAACTTGTTACCCCAGAAGTTTTTTTAAAAATTAATACATATAAAGTTTTTGTTAAATTTTATTTAAATTTGTTTATCAACCCCATTTTTACTGTATGCACGGTTAGATAAGCGGGAAATTACTTCCATTTTAAAGAGAAAAAAATATATAGGTTACAATTAGTGTTATTAAGAACCGAATACGTATTCACACTTATTCACACTTAATCGCACTTATTCACTCTTATTTTGACTTGCTGAATGACAAATTTAGAAAGTTCATACGCATGAGGTAATGATTGACTAACATTAATGAAATAAATGGCTGTTTTATAAGTTTTATTTCCGGGGATAGTGTGGATAGTGTAACATAGACTGTTGTACCGTTAACATATGACGATCTCCACTAGCCACATATTGTGCACGCGTTGTTAAAGAAATTTTTATATAAAAGGAGATAAAAATGAGAGTTTACCATCGATCGAGAGCGAGCAAACATCAAAACATCGCAATAAAATATATCTGATATCTGTATTTTTTACTTGCAAAGTTTTGAAATATCTCGGTCAATAGTCCGATCAATAGATATCTCGTTACTATCTTTAATCTTTCGAATTTATCAATCCTTATTCATAATGCAATTTCACTTTATTCACGATACCCTAACATTCTTATCTTCGCCAACGTTACAGCATGATCATGACTCTCTTTTCGCACAACAAGTAGCGAATCCTCCCTATCGTCTTGTGTTACCATTGGATATCTTATTGGCCCCAAGCCGCAGAAGTCTAACCCATTTGCCAAGACCCCAAAACTCATTCCTTCTTTTTCGTAAAGACTATAATGAGAGAATTCGTCTTTCAAATCGTAATAAATCAAAAAAATTAAGTGTAAAAACGATTTCAGAGAATGCAAAACTCGAATGGAGTCAACAACCTCTAATTGTGAAAAACTTTTTTAAAGTTTTGGCAAAAGAGGCTGATAAACGTCATAAAAAAATGTTTCCTAATTACAAATATCAGCCAAAATGTAAACCAAAGGATAATGATAATAAAGACGAAAATGAGTCAATTCCGATAAATTCCGAAGTATTTGAAGATACTACAGTGGTTGAGAACGTATCAACCTTTGATATCAATGGCAGTATTGCTTCCGATGTTGACATCATTGAACTTGAGAAATATTTCGACATCCAGGCCTACTATAATGATAAAAAATAGTTACCCATTACCCATTCGTCTCCACTATAAAGTCATCGGTTGAATTCGATATGTTACAAAATATTTTTCATACAATATATAACGAACATTTTTCATACAATATATAACGAACATTTTTCATACTATATATCAAGAACATTCATCATTTTATTATTTATATATAAATATATATACTCGAACATAAATTGTTTCAATGAAAGCTTTCATTTTCTTGTGGTTTTTATTTTTATTTACGTTGCAACATTTTTATTACAATAGCTAGCTATAGTATGTATAAATTGTAAAAGCATGCTTTTTTTAAGTCGTAAGATCTAACAAAAATTCAAGATATATGCTATGTTAAAATTTTTTAAGTTTTGTTAAGTTTGAAAAAAAAAATTTTAATAAAAAAATAAGTACATATGATATGATGACAAATGGAATTTTCTAATGGAAAACATCTCGGTTCGCGTTCGCGTGTATCACGAGATCATTAGCCACAATGAGTGTTTCAGCCACTACGTATGAAGATCACTTAACAAAATTCGGTTACGTATTATGGTTATCATTTCCATTTATGATAAATCTTATTAAGATTGCAGCAAGCCAGTTAAAATTCCGCAAAGCTGTCTTTATTTTTAAAACTGTGTAACAGTTGCTGTCTATGTATGAGGTAATTGGCGTTAATTTTATGATTTAGGTAAGATGAACGGAACATATTATATTTAAACATCCGAAAGAAACTTTCTTCAAGTCATAATAGCTGCTTTGATGAAAAAAATTTTTTTATTCGCGAATATATGCCAGAAAGGAATGAACACAATATTTTGTGCATGTTTAATTATTTCTAATAATAACGTACATAATTAATCAAATGGATTTATTTCTAATTATTTTAAAGTTGTTAAAAAATATACATTTTAATTAAAAAATGATCCAAAGTCCTAGTGATTTAAGGTTAAGAAGTCTTGACGATTTTTAAGATCAAGAAGACGCGCAAAAATCTGTTATCAATACATCATCTCAAAGTCAACATACAATACACGTTTTAATAACATTATTCTGCAATTTACTGTCGAAACTGTTCGCATTCATAACTATATAGGGTCATTAATAGTTGACTAAATTTTTATTTCCTCAGATGAACCAATCTTTCGTCATTCTAAAAATTTACATAACTGGTCATTAAAAAACAATTAATTTGAAACATAACACATAAATTCATGCAAATAACAAAAATAAATTTGTGCATTTTAATTAACAAAAAAAAATCAAGGATTCGTAATATCGAAGAATCCAAGGAATTTGTAATATTGCGCGATTTACAGTAACTAAGGTAAAGCAAAGAAAAGTGTAACGTCAGATTGATAAAACAAAATAAGGTAGTCAAAAGACTTAAAACTATAAACACACTGTATAATCATATATCTACTTTTAGCTATTCTTTTTAAATACGGAGCACGAATACCGACAAATTCTCTGCGGATAAACTTAAACGTCAGTCAAATATATTAAATGCTGAATTCACACGGACTAACTTTTCCATAGACACGATATTTTGTACGCTTAACCATTTCGAAAACAATAAAAAGCGAAAGTTACATAGATATTATTAGATTTTTGTTATTCCTGAAAATTTTCGGGTTACAATTGTAATGCACCGAGATGTTGTGTATTCTCATATAAAGTTTCAAGTATGGTCAAACGAATATTTAATAAAAGTACTATATTTAAAAGAAATGAGGAATGAACAGAGTTCTTGTTTTTATGTAGCACATCATGCAGTGTGGCATATTGAATTTACTTATTTTTGCAATTAAAATAAATTCAAAAAAGGAAATAGTGTGAAAATAAACCAAAGTACGTGAAGATAGAAATTAAAGGGATATAAGAATAAATTGTCACCACTTGTATGTAAAAGTTTGTTCCCGACATCTTTAATTGATGTATAAAGGTCAGTTTAAATATTAATTTTTGAGTATTTTTTTTTCTTTCGCACCAGTTTGGATGATCATCAAAAATTGAACTCCCTGATTGGCTGTTTCCCTTTATGGTTTGAATTACTCGCTGGATGTGTGATACATTACTTAAAAGTTCATATGGCTATGATCTGATGCTGATATGCATGCATTTTTATTATTAAGAGTTTGTAACACAAACCAAAAAAATTCACAATGGACTAAATATCACCGAAAAAATAATTTCCCGAATTCCCGAAGGGGGCTATTTTTTATACCCTCATATGTATTATTCAAACCCCCTAACAAGACAAAATTTTGAGCGAAGTATCTCGACAACCACCTGATCAAATTTGATGAAATTTTTTTCATTTTGATTCTATAGTCTAGAGGATTCAAATAAAAAAAAGTTTCATCGAATTTGATCAAGTGTTTGCCGAGATATCTTTGCTCAAAGTTTTTTTTTTAAAAAAAAAAAAAACTCAAAACGCCTATCAAAATAAAATTCTTTAAAGCTTTGAGCGAAGACATCTTGACAGCCATCTGACCAAATTCAATGAAAATTTTTTTTTATTCAAATCCTCTAGGCTTATATAATTAAAATAAAAGAATTTCATTGAATTTGATCAGGTGGTTGTCAAGATATCTTCGTTCAAAGGTTTGAAAAAATTCAAAACGCATATTAAAATAAAGAAGAGCTAAATTTTTTTAAAACTTCGAGCGAACATATCTCGAAAACATTTGATTAAATTCGATGAAAATTTTTTTATTTGAATCCTCTAGACTCAGAATTCAAATAAAAAAATTTTCATCGAACTTTATCAGGTGATTGTCGGGATATCTTCCTTTTAATGTTTTAAAAAATTTGGAGCAACTTTTTTATTTTGATAGACACTTTGAACTTTCAAAACTTTGAGCGAATATATCTTAGCAACCATTTGAATTCGAATAAAAAACTTTATCAAATTTGGTTGGGAGATATAGTTTTAAAGAAATTTAACATAGTTATTTTGACAGATATTGAGCAAAGATATCTTGACAACCGCTTAATCAAAATCGATGGAATTTTTTTTTGTTTGTCTTGTTTGAATCCTCTAGACTCACTGAACCGAAATAAAAAAAACTTTCATCAAATTTGATTAGTTGTTTGTCGAAATATTTTCGCTCAAAGTTTTTGTTCTGTTGGAGGGTATAAATAATAAATGTGGGGGTATAAAAAATAGCTCCCATTTCCGAATTGTCAAATTGCTAGACTTATCAAACTGATTCTCATACATCTCATAATGTTTAAACTATTTAATTTTATTATGTTAGATTTCATAATAAACAATCATACATTTTAATATGTTAACATGGGGAAAATCTATTCAAATAATAGGCGATCTCTCAAATTATTCATTAGATGTGAATATCACACGACAGGGTGAAACCCGCGTCAGAGGTGGTTATGTTATTGATCAAAAAGGTAACCTAAAAAACGCGAATTTCACCCTTTTCGTATCCATTGATAATAAAAATCAACCCAGGTTCACCCTATCCTAATATCACAGAATCAGATACATTATTTACATTATTGCTTTCATTAATAATAACAATAAAATGAATGTAAACTAAATTGGATGCTATTTTACTAAATAAAATTGTTTTACATACGTACGTACATATTGCATATACACTGATGCCGTTTATTGGCTACAATTATACCTCAGTTTGGGAATTATAAAAGTCATTATGATTTCTTATTATAGCCTAAATTAAGTTCACGTGACCTTGGATTTTTTCAAACACCTCAACACTCGGACGACTTCTGCTACATATCATGTAGATATTGTGTAACATCAATATTGATAGAATGATAAGGCTGATCATTAATTCGCGAAACATTCAAATGCAATAGATTCTTAATATGTATTTTTTTCGAACTTTAAACGAAGATATCAATATTTATTGAGATTTTCTAATTGTACTCAGTGGGTAAGTTGCTCCAGTATATGAAAAAAATAAAAATTGCCAATATCTTAAAATTTTTACTATGAAAACCATCCCAATGGTATTAGCAAAAATGTTCACACTCAATCTTGCATATGAATACATCTTTATCTAGCCTTAACTCTAGAATTAAAAATAAAAAAAAATTCATCGATTTTAGGTCGGTAGTTATCGAGATATCCTCGTTCAAAATTCAAAAAAATTTAGGCACAAAGACCACGGTTAAGTTTCTTTCAAACTTTGAGCGATAATAACGATAACTACCTACCTAAAATCGATGAATTTGATGTTTTTTTTTAATTCTATGAATTCATTGAAATAAAGTAAAATAAAATTTCATCGAGCTTGGTGGGTAATTACTGAGATATTATCGCCCAAAGTTTGGAAAAACTTAGCACGGTCTTTTTGATAATTGTCTAAGTTTTCTTAAAATTTTGAACGAGGATATCTCAATAACTCCCAATCCAAAATCGATGAAAATTCTTTTATTTTAATTCTATAGATTTGTAGAATTAAAAAAAAAAAAAAAAAAAATTTCATCGATTTTGGATTGGTAGTTACCGAGACATCGTTTAAAATTTAAAAAATTTGGCGTCAATCAACGACCGCGACTAAGCTTTTTCAAACTTTGAGCGATAACATCTCGATAACTACCTACCTAAAATCGATGAATATTTTTTTATTTTACTTCAATGAATTAATAGAATTAAAATAAACAAGTTTATCGATTTTATATGCGTAAGTATTGAGATATGGGGTCTTTGCCTTGAAAATCAAATATATGACATATGATTTACTATGTCCCATAACTTGATTTTCAAGGCAAAAACCCCATATTATACTCAAAATTTGAAAAAAATCTTAGCCGCGATCTTTGATAATCGCCTAAATGTTTTTGAACTTTGAACGAGGATATCTCAATAACCACCGCTCTAGAATTAAAATAAACCAATTTTATGAAATTTGGATGGGTAGTTACTCTTATATCTTTCGTTTAAAGTTCGAAATAAATTTTATCGGCTTATCACCCTATCAATATTGATGTTACACAAGATCTACATGATAGCATAACGA